TTTTGAAGTATCCTTATATGGTAGGACTGCTTGTATTTTTCCAACTTCTGAAATTTGAGTCCACTTATGTTCAAGATACTTTTGACTGATGTTTTTGCAACCTCCCCAATTCATCTCAATATAATTGGGACAATAGGAAATATAATTAAGGCATTAAAGCTGTTTTTCATTTTACTCACTTATATCCTACTAAGATTTATAAAATCTTCAATGATAAGGAATCTCAAATATCTTGAACCTCTTAGAGCTTCTTGTAAAAAAAAAAATTCCGTTGGGGCCGGCCCGGTGGCGCACTGCTACAGTGCGCCACTTGGGAGCATGGCGGCGCTCCCGCCGAGGGTTCGGATCCCACATACAGACCGGTTCCCGCTCACTGGCTGAGCCAGGTGCGGGTGCAACACCGAGGGTTGTGATCCCGTTGCCGGTCCCGGTCCGGTACGGGGGCGACACTGAGGGTTGCGATCCGTTGCCGGACACGCAAAAAGACAAAAAAAAAAACCAATAAAAGTCAAGTAAAATTAGGTCAAAATATAAAATCACTATTGAATTTTCTGATGGTTTTAATTTCTGATTGATTTATTCAACAGAAGTTTTTTACAAGAAGCTCTAAGAGGTTCAAGATATTTGAGATTCCTTATCATTGAAGATTTTATAAATCTTAGTAGGATATAAGTGAGTAAAACGAAAAACAGCTTTAATGCCTCAATTATATTTCCTATTGTCCCAATTATATTGAGATGAATCGGGGAGGTTGCAAAAACATCAGTCAAAAGTCTCTTGAACATAGTGGACTCAAATTTCAGAAGTTGCAAAAATACAATCAGTCCTACCATATGAGGGTACTTCAAAAAGTTCATGGAAAATTAGAATTAAATGTTAATGCAAATCTTTCCTCAAACTTTTTGAAGACCCCTAGTAGTTATAGCATAGCAATATGAATTACAGTATCCATCCCAATTCTTCTGAACCTTACCTGATAAAGCTGAAGTCATCAAGTATGCATCAAGGCAGGGGAGAATGTCTTTGTAATAAGGCTGAATTACATGTTTGTGGATGTAAACTGACCATTCTTCTAGGGCATGCAAGCCTGCTTCTGCCAACGGGGTATAGCTTAGGCCCAGTTTGAAAGCCATCTATATGTTAATACAAACAAGGTAAACTGAAACACAGGAAATTTAAGATTTAAAGAAAAAAAACAACAATTAATTGTGGTTTATAATTAACGCCTTCCTATTGCTAGAACACCAGACACTGCTGGAGTTAAGTGGGTGCAGTCGAGGTAATCATAAGCAGCGCCAGTCTATATGGATGCTGACTTTCACCACACACAAGGTTTAATTCTCACATCATACAATAGCCAAGAGATGGAACCAGCCCAAATGTACAATAGCCAAGAGACCAGTCTATATGGATGCTGACTTTCACCACACACAAGGTTTAATTCTCACATCATACAATAGCCAAGAGATGGAACCAGCCCAAATGTCCATCATCGGATGAGTGGATATGGAAAATGTGGTATATCTACACAATGGAATACTACTCTGCTATAAAAAAGAATGAAATACTGCCACTTTCAACAACATGGATGGACTTTGAGAGAATTATATTAAGTGAAACAAGTCAGACACAGAAAGAGAAATATCACATGTTCTCACTTATTGGTGGGAGATAAAAATAAATAAATAAATACACATATACACACACACAAAAAAAACCGGGGGGAGAAGACACAACAATTACAATTCCTTGAAGTTGACATGACAAGCATACAGAAAGGACATTGTTGGGTGGGAGGGGGGAGCGGGAGGAGGGAGGGAGGTTTCGGTAATGGGCCACAATAATCAACCACATTGTATATCGACAAAATAAAATTTTAAAATAAATAAATAAATAAATAAAATTCTCACATCAACCTGCAGGGGAAGCTCAGAGAGGCCAAGCCAAGTGTACCCAGTCCCAAAGCTAATAAGTGGCAGAAGCAGAACCTGACCAGGTATGCCTCCTGGAGAGGCACCTGCTGCTACTACAGGGCAAGACCTTAGTATTTCCATGTTCTTTAGGAAACACAACACTGATGAAGAGAGATTTGCTCGAGAAGATGCATCTACCTGCAAGGCAGGAACGCAGGCTCTGACATCAAGTTCAATGATGTCATGTGGCAGGGACAGAACAAAGTTCAAACAGGAGGCCAAAAGTTCATCTTTGTATTGCTTCATTTTAACTGATACCTTAACAATAAAGAAGACAGTGCTGTGTGACTCAACAGAACCTACAATTTGAAAATCAATTAAAAAATACTTACCCTATTCTTAAAT